TTATTTATTATGTATACAATATTCTGTCTGTGTGTATGCCTGAAGGCCAGAAGAGGGCACCAGACCTCATTATAGATGGTTGTGAGCCACCATGTGGTTGCTGGGAATTGAACTCAGGACCTTTGGAAGAGCAGGCAATGCTCTTAACCACTGAGCCATCTCTCCAGCCCATCAGTTTGCTTTCTTATAGAATTCAGCACCTGCCCAGGAGTGGCACAGCCCACAAGTGAGTGGATTCTCCTATATCAACCATTAATCAGAAAAAGGCTTTAAGGCTGGAAAGATGGCTCAGCGCTCAGAGGACGTGTGTTCAATTTCCAGCACCCACTTGGCAGCTCACAACTGTCTGTAACTCAAGTTCCAAGGGATCTGACACTTTCATACCAACGCATATAAAATAAAGTTAATCAAATCATTTTTAGAACAAGAAAATGCTCTATAGACTCGCCTACAAGTCAATCTGGTGGAAACATTTTCTCAGCTGAAGTTCTCTTCCCAGATGAACCTGGCAAAATCCACTGTGGAATTTCTGTATAGTGACATACTGTGTAGCCATAAAAAAATGTATAGATTCATGGTAGAACATATACAAACTTTTAAAATATTGTGTTACACGAAACAATTACTCACAAAAAGACTACATGGCAATATGATTATGTCTACAGTTTATGGATTCTGACTATGTAGCCCAGGCTGGCCTCAGGCTAAGAACCTTCTTATCTTAGGCTTTTTTTTTTTTTCCCCCTTTAAGACAGGGTTTCTTTGTGTAGCACTGGCTGTCCTGGAACTCCCTTTGTAGACGAGGCTGGCCGTGAACTCACAGAGATCTGCCTGCCTCTGCCTCCCAAGTGCTGGGATTAAAGGCATGCGCCACCACTGCTTGTCTTATGCTTTGAAGTGAACTAATTTGAGCTGTGATGCTGTCACATCTAGTTGAAGAGTATGAATTTGGGAATTTGTATGCTTTATAATCGCTCAGTCTGTGTAAATCCTGTCTTCCTGTAGTTCCTCTAAGATGTGCTCATTGCTCACAGACAGGTGCAGCTTCATAATGTGTTTTTTTCTTTCTCATGATTAAAAGTGCCCTAACTGAGCAAAGTGTGTCATACCAGACCATAGTCAGGACCCAGCACCCACAAGTGCCTAGAGAGGAGACACATATAGATGGGAGCAGGCCTGCTGTCTCCAGAGCCCAGGGGAATGGGGCTGACAAGGGCCAGATGTTCTGTGCTGCAGACAATGATGTATACTGGCTGTGTTTTGAGTGAGTGAGTTTATTAAGTGTGCAGCAAGCCAGAGAAAAAGAATAAATAGTGCTGGTTGGGAGGTGCACACCCTTAGTCCCAGAACTTGGGAGGCAGAGGTGGGGAATGAATCTCTGTAAGTCTAAGCCAACCTGGCTACTTAGTCAGTTTCAGGCCAGCTAGGGCTGTATAGTTGAGACCCTGTTTAGAAACATCAGGGGATAGCTAGTATGACACCTACATGGAGGGGTGTGTGTGTCAATTTTTAAAAAACATTATTTCTTTATTGATTCTTTGGGAACTTTACATCATAAACACAAATTCTGCTCACTTCCCAGTCCCTCCATATCCTCCCTTCATCCCCAAAAGAAAAAATTTAAAAACCAAAACAAAACATACACAGGTATAAAACACCCCCCCCCCCAAGAAAAAAAACCCTCTTCACTTGTACATCTTTCCTGCCTTTCTGACACCTTTTCTTTGACCCTGGCAGCATCCGGAACACTGTGTCAGGGAATAAACCCTTTTGTGCAGTTGGCTCTACTAGCACATGTTCACTTCAGGGCCTCTGGTTTCTGGCAGGGGTGTCCTTAAAGGTAGCCAGTTGGAGTCTGCAGGAGAGAGTCCCAGGCAGAGCAGTCTCCTCAGGTGAGATTTCCATATAAAAGAACAAATAGCAGATACAGAAAACATCAAATTGGTTGCTTACAACAGACACTGATGGGAAGTTGTATCAGCTAGAGTTTCTAATTGAGCTTTCTTTCCATGGTTGAGTTTTTCATGGCTGAACTTCCAACTCTCCACCTTTTTCCCATCGCAGGCATTTTTATATCATGAGATAAACAGAGTAACTTGTGTTGGAAATTCTTCACCTTCTAGCTGTTGTCAAGGGCATGGTGTGTTTACTCTTAGGCTGTTTTGCTGTTCTCTGCTCCCTGTTACTGAGTACTACGATATATCCTTAGATAAAGAACCTTGGAAAACACTTGACATAATCATGCTTGGTTCTGAAATTGGAGGGGCTGACAACCCCTCTTCCAGAGACAGTTTTTCAGTTCAAAACAACATATGACAATTTACCAAGAGAATGTACATTCCACTAAGTTTCAGGCCTGGAAGGCCTCTCTGAAGCTGGGGATTGGTCAGCTGTTTGTTAGCTATCGTGGTCTGTCTTCGGATAACAGAAGGGTTGAGTTCTGGTGGTCAGAATAAACAGACGGCTGCTTTGTCTTAGCACATTGTGGGCATGGGATGTAGCCCACTTGGGACAGGGCCAACCTTACCTTCATAAAGCCCTAACTCCAGAGCACCAGATAGAGTGGCACTGGGCTGTACCCCTAACACTCAGCAGGGTCAGGATATAGATCAGAAAGTGAGCAACCAGGGTTGAGTCAGTGTAGAGACGGAAGCTTCTTTCCTGAGGTTAGTAACATCTTACCTGTGCTATTTCTGTTTTAACCCCAATGTCTTGTCCTTCTTTTGGCAGTAATCCAGTCCCTCATAGCACTGGTGAACGACCCCCAGCCTGAGCACCCACTCCGGGCTGACCTAGCTGAAGAATACTCTAAGGACCGTAAAAAATTCTGTAAGAATGCTGAAGAGTTTACAAAGAAATATGGGGAAAAGCGACCTGTGGACTAAAATCTGCCATGAGTGATTCCAGCACGTTTGAGCAGAGCCCCCGAGCAGTGCATTCAGATACCCCGCAAAGCAGGACTCTGTGGAAAATTGACACGTGCCACCACCTGGCGTCCGCTTGTGGCAGTTACTAACTTTCTACAGTTTTCTTAATCAAAAGTGGTCTAGGTAACCTGTAAAGAAGGATTAAAGAATTCAGATGTTCTAGTTCTGCTTGCTTTGTTTTAAAAATCACTGCTTTAGTCTACTTCGAAAGAATGCCATTTCTTTTCCTGCCCAGACTCAAAGTTACTGTTAGCCCAGAAGGTTTTCAAAAAAGTTGTGATTCCCTCTCCTCATCACCTTCTTCTTTTTCAATCCCACTTCCACAGACTAAGGCCCCGGCTCCCCACAGAAGCAGCAGCCCTTCTCCTGTGCCACACTGCCTGTGGGTGATAGCTCAAATCCCCTAATGCCATCTTAGTAATGTGCTTACAAAAGATTATAAAACAATATCAACCCCCCCCCAAAAAAAAGAATGTCTGTGCAAAGGGAAGCTGCTTTCACATAAAATCTTAGCAAAATGTTTCCACAGTAACAGACTCAATGGGCAGACCCCACACTCTCAACCCGTGGTCAGGCTGTCTTTGTAGGGAACCTGCAATACCAGGTTTGTGGTGACCTTGGAGGGAGGGTCTGCCAGCAGAGAATGCCACACACTTGTGTGATGAATTCTCTCCATCAGCAGCCCTCCTTGCAGCTGTGGTAGACGACCTGCTGGTTATCCCAGGCAAAGCAAAAGCCAGAATATTCTTTTGAAATCTCAAGCTTCTCCACCACCAAGCTCTGCTGAGATGTGCCAAGGAGCCCCCACTCCTCAGCACAGTAGGCCACCATTGTTATTCTCCGCATGGTTTGCATCTTGTGGGATCAGCATTGGTGGCTTCTGCTTTGTAACCAGCTGCCCCTTCCTCAGAGCAGCTGCAGGTGCAGCCCAGGAACAGGACGGCCTTTCCCTCCCTCTGGATTCAGCCTTTCCAGGGTCAAGCTCACTTGAAGCTCACTCAGTAATATCCTTTCAATGTGTTTTATATTGTTTCCATTGCCTTTTTTTGTAGAAATAAAATTTGACCTTAGAATTTATCATCAAATGAACTTTGTCAAGATTTGAATGTTAATGTCTTTTCAAGGCAAGTGGGACTGTCCTTGAAGCAGTAGTGACACCCTGAGGAAGCTGTTGGCCTGACTGCCTATGTTTACCAACTCTTTCTACTAGGGGTCTAGAGCCTGTGGAGAAGATTGCCTCGAGAAGTCTTGCTTTCTGCTTTAACCTTAGTTCTTTAACTTCAGGGCTACCTAGGGTTCACAAACTTGGAAGACAGCTCTGGGTTTTGCCTATAAACAAGGGAAACAGGTCCTCTCAGGCAGTGTAACACTATTTAGTTTTCCAAGTGTTTGGTTCCTGTGGTGCATAAATGAACTATGCTTTTAGTTCTAGGTATGCATGGGGCAGGTTTCTGGAGACGTCCATGTGCCCAGGATGGTCAGAGTACTGGGCCTGCATTTCTACGTCTGTCTTTTCATTGGCAGAAAAGTGACAATGGATCTTATTTCATTCACATTCAAATTTGTAATAAAATGCCAAATTCTGTCAGAAGTTGTCCAAACAAGCCACCATTTGTTCTTGTTGCTTTTCTAAATCTAGAGATAGTCCAACTGTCTCATTGCTTAGCTCTAGCTGCCTGTTGCCCCTTACTGCTCTCTGCTCACTATGGGAGGGTTCTCCTATGCCAGCAGCCCCTCTCAGGGACTCTCAGCCCCAGGACTGACAACCTTGGCCTATCCTGGAAGCAGAGGCCTGGCTTAGAGTCAGTGATGTCCCTCTGGGCTTGCATGCCTTGCTCTTTCCAGCCCTGCTGTGGAGCAGGCTTTGAGCAAGCTGGCAGGCAGCTCTGGCTGCTCGAAACTCAAGAGCTGGATCCTCTAGAGAAGGGGAGATCTGTGGAGCAACCAGCTACCCACCCATCCCTGACACAAGTTGGCTCAGGAATTCACATCCCCCCTGGTTCCTTGAAGTGCCCAGGGTCTTGTCCTGCTCTTTCCATGATGGCAGAGAATAGACTTCCTAAGATGCTGTGACCCCATTCTGTCCTTAATAAAAATGTTCTCAGACACTAGTTTGGGTGTATGGGTTTCTTTGGGGATGGACATTGCTGGGAGCCTATGTTCTTGGAGACTAAAGAGAGTAGTGTCTAGGCCTAGGCCCCTGATCATTTTCCTCCACTTGCCTGCCTCTAAGAGGCATACAGGTGCTTCTCTCTTGCCAGGTAGAAGTAGGTGGGGCTGTCAACACTGGGAAAACTGCATGGATATCAAGGAGACTGACATGAGAAGTCACTTATCCTTGTAGCCCCAAGAAAATGTGAACTGCAGAGGTGAGGAGGATTTAATCAAAGGCATGAACTGAAGAGCACGTGCCACTGAGTTTTGAAGACAGCTACTAAGGCACTACAGCACTAGCCAGGCCTGTGACATGCAGGCACCAGATGCAGTCAGAATACTCTCTGGAACATCACTTTACTTTGGCTTCCAGACAGTCCTGGAGCACTGCCAGCTTTGAACTCACAGTCCTCCTCCTATAGCCTACTTCACTATTCCTCCCTTCCTTGTTTCCCTTCAAATAAGTATTTAGTTCATAAGTCTCATACTCCCTGGTTCCTGATTGTTACTGTAGCCAAGGCTGAATAAGCAGATTCAGCTTTTGTTTGGGATGTCACTTCCTCTAGCCTTAAGAGATGTTTTCCCCACACACATGTTGTGCAGTCTAGTCTAGGGAGAAGTCAGTTTGATTTTTCCTGCACAGCCCACATCCTATGTGAGCAAACATTACCCTCAGAGAGCAAAGTTGAGGAAGACTCTGACAGTGCAACATGGTGCTCAGCCCAGGTCATTTCCTGGATGACTCAAGACAGCAGTCCTGGGAAACCAGACTGTACAGACCACTTACCCAGCGTCATGCTTAAGGTCCCGAAAAGGAAACTAGCTCTAGAGAACCTTCCTCTTCTCCAGTGTGGCCCAGATCATAGTGATTTGCCATCTGTAGGCTGGGGACTATCCCAGCAGAGCAGAACTCAGCAGAGCCTTCTCTCCTGAGCATTCTGGTGTCAGTCAGATTGCTGGGAGTCTTGTACTGGGCCTCCAGCTGGCAGCCAGCAGAATGTTCCTGTGCCACAGGAGCCAAGGTGAGGAGATGAATGGAACACAGCAGGGGATCAAACTCAAAATTCTGGACCACAGGGTGTTGAACTTGCCCAAGTCAAGGTTGAGGAAGGTTATTATAGACTGAAGCCAGTCGAGGGGAGGAGGAGGATAAGATCCCTTCAAGAAGCCATGCCTTATCAGGCCAGGTCAGAGCTTGCTTGCCTGGCCTCTCCCCACCCCCATTCCAGGATGGATGTAGGCTATGTCAGGTAAGTTTAAAGCCTTTCGCTACATCCCCTACTTGTAAGTTTGCGGTGGGGCACAGAAAAGTTGACAGAAATCTTAGACAGCATGCATGAAACTCTGGGCTTACTCCTAAAAACCATGTAAACTGGGAGTGATGATGCACTCCGTAATCCCGGGAAGTGTGTAAAAGTTCTTGTGTTTAGCCGGGCGGTGGTGGCGCACGCCTTTAATCCCAGCACTCGGGAAGCAGAGGCAGGCGGATCTCTGTCAGTTCGAGACCAGCCTGATCTACAGAGCTAGTTCCAGGACAGGCTCCAAAACCACAGAGAAACCCTGTCTTGAAAAACCAAAAAAAAAAAAAAAAAAAGTTCTTGTGTTTGAAAAGACCCAACTCCCAAAAGTTGTCCTTCCTCCAACTGCCACACACCTACATTCACACACATCCTATCATACTAGTTTTAACCTGTTTGTGTTGTAACTGCAGGGAACAGACTGAAAGAGGCTCTGTAAGCTTGTATAGGAGGGTGTACATGTTTCCAGGAGAGGCAGTCTTTTGCAGAAGTGAGAAACTGGGATTCTAGCTACATCTGATATATGGATGCTCTACAAACAAGGAGTAGGTGAGAAGATGGCGGAACACAGCCTTACATCATTTTGGAAGATGGAAAGGCAGACGGAATACCACATGATTTGTTTTTTGGTACTGGGTATTGAGCCTATAGTTTCACACATGAATGCTAGGCCAACAACTGGGCTGTCTTGAGATTCGTTATATCGCCAAGGACGACACTGAATTGATACTGCTGCCTCCACTTCCCAATGCTAGGATTACATGTGCTTGTTTGTGTTGAGCCCTCAGACAACCTCTTTTTAAATCAAAATTACAGTTACCATATGCCTCCCCAAAACACCCTAATGAGGATCTTTTGTTCCCTTCCCATGAAAAAAGAAAGAAATGGAAGTCTTGCTAGGGCACAGTGGTGTGTGCTTGCAGTCCCAGCTAGTAGAAGGTGATGGAGGAGGATCTCTTGAGCCCTGGAGTAGAAGGCTAGGCTGAGCAATGTGTTAAGACCCTCATTTCAAAAACAAAACACATATAGACCATGGTATGCATGCATGTACTTCCTCAACACAAACAAGCACATGTAATTTTTTATCTAAGGGATTAAAACATGTAAGCATGAGCAAAATTAGAAAGTGAAGATTTTTGTTTGTTTCTGTTTTTGTTTCCAAGACAGGGTTTCTCTGTGTAACAGTCCTAGCTGCCCTGGAACTCGCTTTGTAGACCAGGCTGGCCTCGAACTCACAGAGATCTGCCTGCCTCTGCCTCCCAAGTGCTGGAATTAAAGGTGTGTGTCACCACGGCCCGGCCCATTTTTGATATCTTGGTCTGAGCCTCTCTGTGCCTATTATTTCTGCGAAGGATACCTGGGCACTTTATAAATCAGCCAAATCGGAAAGACATTATTTTATTAACACACCAACATCTCTCCACTGCTCCACTAAACAAGTGGTTGTGACTTGCACATGAATTGGCACCAAATGCTCATCAGGCCCTAAGTCCAGATGTCTCTGACTAGCCCTGCCTGTCTGCAGGCAGGGCTGCCCAATACTATTCAGTCGCAAGGACCTGGTTTAGTGACTTGTCACTCTGTAAGCCAGACCCTGCTATAAGACCTGGTTCCAGGCTTTAGCCCTGGCCTTCCTCCACGATGAGAGGCAGTTCATAGCTGGCCTTTGGTGTCAGGGTGGGGAAGGCTTCAGGAAGGGCTCCAGAGTTGCCTCACAGGGAACCCCTTCCCCAGGCCTTTTGGAATCCAGGTCGTCTATGGCGCAGAGCTGCACACCATTCTGGGCCAGCCGAGCCCGCAGGGTAGGTGCCGTGAGGACGTGCAGCTCATGCAGCCGCTCCCAAGAACAAGAGAAAGCATCGGGGCCCTCACCGCAGCCCCCTGCTGGAGGCACACTGGGGTATCCTGGGTGTGCCATCAGTTCGGCAGTCAGGGGACGGCCAGCAGGGATATCTTCCAGGGCCCGCGCCAGTGACGCCAAGACTCGGTGAGCAGACATGTGCCGGCCACAAGTGCTCAGGCCCACAAAGGCATCGGTCCACCTGTGAGTGCCAGGATAGAGGTGTTGCCTGAGGACCGGCAGGGCTAGGCAGAGGGTGAAGCAGGACAGCAGATCAGTTCCTAACTTTGGACCTTTGGGGACCGGGCAGGGTTGGATGGGGTGAGGGAGGGCGGTGCTCACCGCAGGCCGTGGCGGGAGAAGGGGCCCATGGCGGCCCGGGCATCGCTCTCCACAGCGCAGGCGAAGGCACGCGCTGGTGCTTCCAGCCACGAGCAGCTACCCACGCCGCGTTCCACTGGCAGCCGCGTGAAACGCACCCCGAACGCCTGCAGGGCCTCGGCGAACACCTGACACACGCCTGCTTGGAGGGGTGGGCTCAGCATCGACCTCCCACAAACCTTGGAAAGCAGCCCCCACCCCCACCCGGACCTGGACGCTTCAATCCGCGTACCTGGGAGCACGTGCACGTGCTGGTGCCCGTCCACGTGCGTGGGGGACCTACCCAACAACTCCCGGAAGCGGTTGAGTTGAGCTTCTAGTTCCTCCCGCACCTGGAGGGGCACAGATACCTTGAGTTTCTGGAAGCAGCCACAAAGCGAAGAGCTCCGTCTGGTGCCACGGTGTGACTGCTCCAGGGTTTGAACTAGCAGCTTATCCAGCACCCGCGTTTGCCCCAACGACTTCCATGATACCCTCTGGGCTGCATTTTGATCAGTATCCGTCTGTCTGCAGCCACGCCTCCGCACCTGAGGCAAAGCAACGTCTCCAGCCTCTAAGGCCTTCCGAAATCCCATCTTCCCGAGAAAGAAGCCTTCCGAGTTGAGGAGCGACGAGGTGGTGTGGCGGGCAGGACCCACAGGACGGCCCTCAGTCAGGTTGGCGTGGAGGCCCGTGGGAATGCTGTGCCTGCGGGCGGAGCGCGAGAGCAAGCATTGTCTGCCACAGACCGGGCAGCCCCCCAAACCTGCCCGTTCCTGAAGGGGGCCTCCCTCACCTGCGGGCCAGCTCGGCCGCGCTCTCTGCGGCTGTGCCGTTGGCCAGCAGTGACACGCTGGTCACAGTTCCTGCCAGGAAGGCCTCCACGATGCCCTTATCGCGCCGCGGGCAGTAACCAAAGTCATCAGCTGTGACAACCAGCTGCACACGAGGCCAAGCCATAGCTGCCAAACGTTGGCTGGAGACCAGAGAGAATGGACTGCAGCATCCAGACCCCGCCCTTGAACGCCGCCGAGGCCCCACCCCGACGCACGCGACTAAATGCGACTGCACGCCGCCATTGTTTTTGCTACCAAGAGGTCTCTTGAGTGTCTTGCAAACGGCCGGGTTAACTGCTCTGCAAATTTCTTTTTTTTGGCCTATGTCTATAATCATATCTGTGTGTGTGTGTGTGTGTGTGTGTGTGTGTGTGTGTGTGTGTGTGTGTGTGTGTGTGTGTGTGTGCGCGCACACGCTCTCTACGTTTTATACGTTTATGCCCGGGCATGCGGAGACTAGGAAAGGGAATAAAATCCCCTGGAACTGTAGTTAACAGATAGTTGTGGTCCACATGTGAACACATACTAGGACTCCAGTCTTTTGCAAGAGCTGTAAACTCTCTTTACCAATAAGTTATCTCTAGCGCTCAAAAAAAAAAAAAAAAAAAAACCAAAAAACAAAAAAACCATTTTTTTGAAAAGTATTTTTTTTAAAAATGAAGAAAACAAGAGAAATACTCAAAAATTCCCCTTGCTCTTCCCAGTGTTTACCATCACCATTGCTCAGGTTCTGGGCAGTATACTGTCCTTCCATTACTTTCCCTAAGAAAAGAAACGCCTCCTCTCCATCACTCAGGGATGATGGAAGGTTATTTCATTCTTGGGATGCTGCTTCGCTTTGTTTTACGCAGTGCCTATGAGCCTTTTCTTATTAGGAGTTCTTACTTTTTTTAACTTTTTTTTTTTTTCAAATAATCTCTTCCTCACTGGTTCTAAGGGGAGGCTTTTTCTTTCTTCCTGAGACAGGTTTCTCTGTGTGTCTGTGTGGCCCTGGCTGTCCTGGAACTCATTCTGACCAGGCTGGTCTTGAACTCAGAGATCCGCCTGTACCACCATTGCCTGACTGTAAAAACAAGAACACAAGCATGCAAACCAATGGCCACACTGGAGAAAGCGTTAGCCCATTTTCACCTTGAGCTTCAGATAACTTTTACGTTCATCACCTCACTTTTGCTTTGTCCAGTCTTGATGTTGTTTTGAAAAACAGACTTATATATCCCAGGCTGGCCTCATTATTCATTCAGCTGAGGCTAGCCTTGAACTTCTGACTCTTGTGCTTCCACCTCTTCAGTGCCATCACACCTGGTTTATGTGGTGCAGGGAGTTGAACCGAAGACTTCAAGCATGTTAGGCAAGCACTCTGCCAACTGAGCATGCCCAACCTGTCTTGGTTTCTCTTGTAGAAAGAGTATTACTGGGGCTGGAGAGATGGGTCAGTGGTTAAGAGCATTGCCTGCTCTTTCAAAGGTCCTGAGTTCAATTCCCAGCAGCCACATGGTGGCTCACAACCATTTGTAAAGAGGTCTGGCTCCCTCTTCTGGCCTTCAGGCATACACACAGACAGAATATTGTATACATAATAAATAAAAAAAATAAAAGAAAGAATGTTACTGGGTCAAGCCTGTGATCTTAGTAATTTTGTTTGTTTTACAGCCAAGGAAGCTGAAAAAAATCACCAGAGAAGTGGAACAGGAACTGTCCCCTCCAGGTGGAGCCTGACCAGCTCTGGTTCCCTCCAGCTTATTCGACCCCCTGGATCACAGGCAAAGGGGAAAGTATAGTTTAATCCCAACAGTACTGATGATGCTTTGTAAGGGTTGGAAGCCTCAAAGAACCCTTCAGTAAAGTGTCTGGGGTTAGCACTGCTATGTCCGGTCATAGTGATTGTTGAGCCATCAGGGGTCATCCAGCCACTGTGTCCCCCTAGGAGGCTGCCATCAGAATGGCCCTGGGCCCTGATAAACACAGACGGAGAAGAGGAAACTACTAAGCTCCTACTGTGTTGGAAATGGAGTCGTTAGATTAGGCTCACTGCCCTGATTCCTGATGAAGAAGTGCCAGCTGTTAGACAAGACAGAAACAGTGTGGCATGGAGGATGGACTTGCTATCAGTCTGTTGGGAATGACAAGCTTCTAGGATGAGAGGAAAAGAACAAGGTAGAGGTGAGTTTATACAGAGTTTCCATAAGGTGTGATGTGTATTGAAAGAATATTTATGTAGCCAGGTGATGATGGCATGCCTTTAATCCCAGCACTCAGGAGGCAGAAGCAGGCAAAATCTCTGTGATTTCGAGAAACCCTGTCTCAAAAAACCAATATGTAGATATAGTTACATAGTTATATATAACTATATATATATAATGCTATATATGTGTGTGTTTATATATGTATGTATGTTTGGATAGATAGATAGATAGTAATACTTACTTTTGGAAGAGGATGTTCCGCTTAATTTACAGATAAGGAGTCAGTGTTGAGAGGCTGAGTCACATCAGGAAAACAAAAAAATCAGGGACAGGAATTGAAGTTAGGTCTGTGTGGAAAACCAGGACTCTTCACTGCTTCCAAAAAGGAAGAGTTGAGAAGGAAGATGCTGGCTAGTCCACACTGGATAAGGGAAAGAAGTCCTGGAAGGAAGCCAACAGAGTTGGAGGTTCAAGTCTGTGCAGCGACCAGGGGTGAGCTGAGGAAGGTGTTTGTGTCATCAGTGGAAGCTGTGACTTTTACCCTGAGCGTTAGAGAAACAAGCCCAAATTCAGACCTCTCGGCAAAATAAAGTCAGATCTTTAAACATTCCCAAGCATGGCTTAGCTGGCTTGACAGAAAAATCCAGCCTGGTGGGGGAGGAGACAATGTGGACCCCACCCACCCCTAACCATTGTGTCGGGGAGGATATATGAACAAGAGGCTAGATTCTGGCCAATCAGAATGAAGTATGTAAATGAGCAACCTGGGCGGCTGCGGGGACGGGATTCCAGGATACGGTGCGGTAGTCCTTAAGTGGGTGCTGACCTAGCGAGCTCGGAGAAGCACAGAGGAGACTCTGGTGAGCTGCTGGGGGCTCCAGGGAGCCTCTGGTCTGAAAGACCAGAGGAAGTTTGTACACTCGCCCCGTCCCAGACTGTTGCAAAAAAGAAGCAACGACTTGGGTGGTGGCGCACGCCTTTAATCCCAGCACTCGGGAGGCAGAGGCAGTGAGTTTGAGGTCAGCCTGGTCTACAAGAGCTAGTTCCAGGACAGGCTCCAAACTACAGAAAAACCCTGTCTCAAAAAACAAAAAGAAAAAGAAAAAAGAAAGAAGAAGCAACGACTTGAATGTCCGCAGATGCGTAGCAGGTCCCCAGCAGGGGAAGGGTGGGATGTCTGAAGGACACAGATGTGGTTCGGGGAGTGAGGGACCCATGGAGGTCTGGTTGTACCTTTACTTCCTCTCCTGCCCTTTACAGAGGAGTCTGCATCTGTGCTGTGGACCCTGAGAAAGGAAGCAGAAAACAAATTTAATTATCCACATCATGGCAAGGTACCGCCACCACTCAGGATATCTGGCTGACGATGAAGGTCACAGCACCTACATGGCTCAGGTCAGTATGTCCAGCTGACCCAACATTAGTGTCTGGACCACTTCCCACCGCTTACCGGGGGACACCCTTTCGTGCCCCACTGTCCTTGGCCCCCAGGTGGGTGGGCTGGAGTCAGCCTGGGCACTCAAGCTGGAGAAGCAGGCTCAAGTCCTCAAGGATAGCCCAACAGTGAAAACAGTCAAGGGTCGTGCTAGATACAAGAGGAGGTAGAGAGAGAGAAAGGCTCTCATAATTGCCCTTTCATACCATGAACACAGAATTCCCCTTTCAGGCTCCCAGCTAGGCCAGCATATACAAAAGTAGAGGCGTTGGGGACCTTCCATCAACCCTAGCAGACCCTACTCTGCAGAAGGCCGGAAAAGGAGCTAGCTGCTCTGAGCACTGTCACACAGCCTGAAGGGAGCTGAGCGTAATTCAGAGCTGGTGAGACGGCTCAGTGAGTGAAGGCGCTCAGTGTCAATACTGATGACCCGAGTTCCCTCTTCAAGAGTCACATAGTAGAAGGAGAGAACCAACTACAGCCAGCTGTCCTTTGACCTTCACACGTGCACTGAGGCATAGATACACCCACACACATGCACACATACCCGTAAAGAAATGTTTAAAATTTTTTAAATATAGTTCAGTGGTTGAACATTTGCAGAGGATGTTCGAGACCCTGGATTCAACCCCCAGCATTATAAAAGAGAGAGAGAGAGAGAGAGAGAGAGAGAGAGAGAGAGAGAGAGAGAGAGAGAGAAAGTCTTTCCCATTGTTCAATCCCAGCTCCTAATAGCACCTTAGGAGGACTCCAGAGATAGTCCCCACCCCTTGCAGAGCATCCTGCCTGCTATGACAGTCTTGTCTGTTCAGATGCAGCTACCCAAAAAGCATCTGTTGCCGGAAAGGAGGCCGAACTGCAAGCTTGGACATATGCCACACCTACCATCAATGAACCGGTATTCAGAGCACCAGGGCCACCAGCAGAACCCTCGGCGCCCTCAAGCGTTTGGCAGCTTCCTGGATTTTCTGACAGAGGGTCAGGTACTGGACAGCTTGCAGACGGTGGTGGAGCAGGCAACAGAGCGTTTGGCTGCCATGAAGACAGACGCCGGAGTACCCCTGGTGGACGTTCAAGACCCAGTGGAGGTGCCAAGTGGTAGGCTGCGGGCTCGAGCCAGACCCAGCATCAACACTGTGCATCGGCACCGCACTCGGCCCACGCTGTGTGCTGGGCACCCAAATAATTACCCATCCTGCTCCAGCTCCATGTCGGATTCCCATAGCAGCATCACGGCTGGCTGGCTGGGCTCCCACAGCCAGGAAAGTGACCCTGGTGCCCGACGCATAGGCTCACTGCCACCTGTGAGGGACAAACTCCTGCTTGAGAAAAACCTCAAGAGGCTACTGCGACTGGAGAACAAAGGGGTGAGAGCTGTTGCCATGGCTAAGGCTGGCATAGGGTGGGCTAGGGTTAGGCCTTGATTGGACACCGCTCAGCCTTCCTCTCTCTTTGCAGAAAGGTCTGAATCAACCCTGCTCCCAGAGGGATTCTCTGCTGTGGGACTCACTGGGCAGCCAGACCAGCAGTCAGTGGACCCGGGAGCAGCCCCTGTCTTGGTTCTCTGGGCTTTTGGGCTCCAGCTCAGTCACTCCTGAGACATCAGAGTTGGGACTTGGAGAACAGGAGATGATTTTCCTCAAAGAAGAGTTAAACAAGGAGATGAAGTCACTGCTAAACCAGCCAGCATCCTTCAACCTGCCTGCCTATTGTTCCCTCAGGGAACCCCATTGTACTCTGGACTTCCTGGCTGAGAATCGCCTCTTTCCTGCCTTGCAGCGCGTAGTCAGCCAGGCTGTAGACAAGTTCAGCCATGCCTGCCGTCATGATGGCTTCCCCCTCTTCCCTGTTGCCTCAGAGCCCACCCCAATGCTGCCTGGGAACTCTGATCTTCTGCCGCCGAACTCCAAAGCGTCCATTCCCACCAGCAGGGAGGATGGGGAGGAGCCTTGTGATTCTCCCACCACAGCCTCCAGCCCTAAGACATCTCGCAGGAAAAGCAAGGGCAGACGTGAATCCCCCTCCATGTCTAATGCCCAGATGGCTACCAGATTCAGGCTCAAGGTGACACCTCCACAAGTGCCTAATGTCCCTAGCCCCTCATTCCACTCCATGCAGGAGTCCCCTGACTCCAGTCCCAAAGTACAGAAACCATCTGTGGCCCCGAGCGCCAACCACGTATCTCAGCCCCGTCATGGCCTGCACCTCACCCTGCCTGCCCCTGGGATCACAGTGGAGGTGGCCTCCTGCCAGGGCCATATCAGGGGCCCGATCCAGCGTCATCTTGCCTCCCCCAACCCTCTTCCCTCCCCTCTCCCCTTCCCTGTGTTCTATCCATTTCTTTCTTTAGGAAAAAGATTCTCCCCTTCTCTTCCTCAAGAGTAGAGCTGGAGGTCTTAGAGGAACATTTGCAGGGAAAGGGCTTCTTTCCCCACCACATCTTGTAGCCACTGTCACTGGCCGATGTCCTGCACTGCAGAAATCTCCTGGGGTAGATACAAGCTGCTGGGGACCAAGAAACCTAGTTTACCTATTTCCCCAGGGGTTGTCAAATTAATAAAGGCTTTTTTTTTTTATCCTGCAATGTTTTTCCTGAGACAGGGTGTCATGTAGCTCAGACTGGTCTCTCAAATTATATATTATATATTATATAGTAGAGGGTGACCATGGACTCCTGATCTTCTTGCCTTTACTTTCCAAATGCTGGGATTACAGGCATGCATCACCATGCCTGCAATTTGGGTATTTTTTTTAAATTATTATTTGTGAGCCCTCCCCTGCAAAGAACAGGGTTTCTCTGTGTAGACCTGACTGTCCTGAAACTCACTCTGTAGACCAGACTGGCCTCAAACTCAGAGATTCCCCTGCCTCTGCCTTTTTTGTTTGTTTGTTTTTGGTTTTTTTTTTTTTTTTTTTTTTT